GGAAGTGTAACTGATGTGATTCTGCAATCTGTATACGGGGTAAAAATGGGAGTTCATAACCCACTTGAATCAAAGTGTGAAATATGATATATCAAGAACTATGTAATGTTTTGAACAACCAACAATAAAAAAAATAAATTAAAAAAAAGAAAAAATAAATAAATAAAATCAAGTTTAACCTGGATTTTCTGAGTCGCTGATGAAAGTCTAGATCGACAGGGAACGAGCGCCCTCTGGTGGGTTTTAAGCTCATGACAAGAATATGAAGATTCATAAGGCAGGCAACAAAGATGTTGACTGTATAGTGGGACCGCTTTAACTTTTAGAGTCACTCCTGTAATTTTAGCCACTCAGAAGGCTGAGGCAGGATAATAGCAAATTCGAGGCCAGCCTCGGCAACTTTGCGAGACCCGGTCTCAAAGTAAGTAAAAATTGCTGGTGCATTTAATTCACTGGTAGAGCATCCTAGGTCAATCCCCAGAAATGAAACAAAGTAAAAATATTTTAGAAGAAAGTTGTTTGAATGGGTTACCAGATCTTCAGCATTTGGTATTTTATCCATTAAGGCTCCAAAACATTCAGTAACATCTGCTTCAAAACAATAATACCTTTGTACATCGTAAATAGTCAAAGATTTTTTCATATTCATACTTTGGAACTGTTGACGGTCCAGGTTATTGCTGTTGGGCCAAAAGAAAAGAATTCTCTACACGATATGAGCACTGCAATGAGAGAAGCCAGGTGGCAGCATCTTTGGCGTTTACATGAGGGAGGCCAGATTCAGATGAACAAAGTGAAGTTAAAATTTGTTGAGTAGATGGTCTTGCTTCATCTCCCCACTTTCCTGCAGATGCTTGTGCTTAAAAAGGAATGAGGCATAGATTGTAGTTTGCTTTCCATTTGAATCATAGCTAGGAATCAGATTATCATATTTTCACTTTCAATGACTGACCCATGAAATAAGTATAATAAAAAGGGCTATAGATAATTGAACAATATAAGATGAAACAACAATAAGAGTCAGTCTATAACTTGGTAAGAAATGGAGGACCCACACATTCTAACCTTTACTTTATGAACTCTTTTTTGACATACTTGGTAAAGTAGTGGAGTTGCAACTGAGGAAGAAGTGAAATGAATGGTCCTTAGATATAGATGCAGAGGAACTGTGCTTCCCATGAATATTTGAATCAGAAAAATAAAAAAGGACTCAACATAGACAATTAAGATGAAATATTTTGTAGCTACCTACTATGACAAATAGGTGAACTCAGAGTGAGAAATATGTATCGGAAAACAAGATTAAGAGAATCATATGGATCTGTTACATATCACAGTTACATATAACTGAAATATATGTAGTGTATATCATCAATAAACACTAAATTTGGGAATGAGGCTGCAAAATAAAGTTGAGTGTAGGGCTCACTACCATTTATTTTGTAAAATTTTTCATTTAAATAAAAAAGCAGAGGCTACATTTTTAGGTAAATTAGAATGTTGAGATAAATAGCATAGAAAGTTGGGATAGCAAAATAGGAAGTAAACATTATAATTCAATTAAAAGTAATGTTACAAAATGAAGGCTAGAATGGCCAGGATCTGACTCTGGAATACCTAGGCATTAAGGCAAGTTGAATGAACGTTAAGACATCTAGACAGAAATCAGGCTAATAATTACTTCTTTTACCTTTCTTCCTGAAAAAAAGGAACTTATACCTCCCCATATCCTATCAGTAGGATCTCATCCATCTTTGAGATGGAGATCATGGCTCCATCCAACCTGATAACCAATTTTTTTAGTTTATTTTTTAGTTTTAGGTGGATACAATATCTTTATTTTATTTTTATGTGGTGCTGAGGATTGAACCCAGTGCCCCACGCACACTAGGCGAGCACTCTACCATTAAGCCACAACCCCACAACCCCAGCCCCTTGATAACCAATTTTTATAAGGATAAACTTAGAAAGGATGTATAGAGCATTCTACATTTCTTCTCTTTTTTTTTGTTTTTTAACTTTTCTCATCAGACAAGCAGAAAGAAGCACAAAATAGAGACATATATTTTATTTAATTAGTACAAAATGAACAATCATGGGATCCTTATTCAAGTTAAGAAATAATAGATTGCTAACACTTCCTGAAGCCTCCACCCTGTCATCTCTATCATTATCTCTCCTTTTCTCCCTAGAAAACAGATAGCCTTCTTCCTTCCTTCCCTCCTTGCTTCCTTCTTTCCTTCATCTATCTG